AATTGGCTAACTCCGGAACCCGCTAACTCGATTTTGTCTCGCGGCGGAATTCGCTAACTCTGGAAGTCGCTAACCCGGCCGCGCCCACTGCTCGGAGCGTTGCCAACCTTGTACGACAAAATAATCGTACACTGCCGTATTTCAAAATGTCAGTGTCTATAAAGATACAGTAAATGTTATTTTTTTGTTATCAATTCCACTTTTAACAGATAACTAGCCCAAAGTAATTAAAAGACAATTAAAAAATCATGAAAAAGTGTTTTTTATTAAACTGTACAATGGCCAGTTAAATGTTTATGAATTCGATCTTAAATATAAATGCCATCAGTATAAAAGAAAATAATAGAATATGAAAAATATTCAAAATTTAGTTTAATTGGTAATAAATAATTAAACCTCTACGAAAATAAGCTAAAATACACGCAAGTTCTTAAACACGGAAAACAGATTTAATTGTAATGTCGTAATAAACCAAAACCATTAATTAATACAGTCATCAACCATCGTAACTTTCATAATTAATTCATAGATTTTAAATTAAATGTTCGTCGTTGAACCGTCCAACTTACGTGTACAAATATGATGACATAGACTAAGTTTTTATCTAGGCCTAATAGTTTGAACCAAAGTATTGTAGGCCTACTAGTAAATAGTTGCCTAATTCTAAAATGTGTTGAATTTTTTAGCAATAATGTTACATGTTTTAAAACAGTTTTTAGATTGTACACCTAAGCACCACTAGTAAAAAATAGGAGAAGATATAATATTCATATAATAAAACGTGACAGGGTTATTTTAATTCACGATTTTTAATAAACTAATTGACGGATTTCCTGATTTGAGTGTTGGGTTTCCTTTATATTGCTTTCACAAACGATATAAACTATACCAAGCAATTGCTCGGTTCACCGTTCCCCAGTACTGAGCTACACAATAGACAATAGCTTTGTTTTTGGATAAGATAGAATCAGCCTGGAAAAAAACTCCAGACTTTTAAAAAGTAAGCCTACTGAAAGACGTAAAATTAATATTAATTCAACAAAATTAAGAGGATGACCCGGGTTCTACACTAATAGCCTACGATAAAAGAAATTTACAAGTTGTATTTATGCATAGACTAACTTTTAATGCAATCCATGAATACATTAGGCCTACCACTTTATAATGTATTGATAAATATTTATTTAAATTCAATAGCTCTATTTAAAAATACATAACCACTACAATGTAATTCTGTAATGACGTTTAACGTGTAAATGTTATTATGATTTATGATTTAAGGTTACTACAAGCCCAGTATATAAAATACGAACTCAAAAATTTTATTTGCAGAAGTTCACAAAATGGTATTTATTCGAATAAAAGAAACAAATGGCGGACTACGAAAATAGATATTTCATAACATGTAATAGATCCAAATTAAATGTGCATTTTTATCTTTTTCATACCAATAAGCTACTATTTAAGTAAGAAACCCACATATAAAACATACTCCCTTATATTAGTACATTTCTCATCCTTATGGATGATCTGAAGACAGTTGTATTGTTAGTTCTGTCCGGTGTACTGTCTTTAGAGGTCGTGTTTTGTTTACAATTGTTTCTTGTTTTCAGTAATTTAAAACCTCATTTAACCAAATAAAACATTCTAATCACAACTAATAACACGCCCCCTAGTTATATAACCAAACAGTAAGGAACAAATCATGAAGTTAACTATAAAATAATAGAAACACAATTTTGTCGACACTAGCGATCAGTGTCACCGGACATGAACTAGACACGAAAAACGAGCTTCAAAGTTTACAATGGGATGTAAAGTTTACTTGTGTTGGTTAGTCTATGGTAAGAATATAATGCATTTTCCACCCTAATAATCATAAGAACTTCTCTGTGGTTAAACATACTTCAAAATATATTTATTTTATCGACTACGTTGCTCTTACTCCTAATTAAGCGTAGGATACGACATTATGGTGCCGATACGATATAGGTACTACACTTTCGGCAACACTGGCCCAAAATATTCGTGCTTGGCTCCCATTGGACGGCCCGCGAGGCTTCTGATTGGGAGTTAGCGAGTTCCGCCGAGGGACCGAGTTAGCGACTTCCGTACGAGGACGGAATTCGCTAACCCGGCTCTAGAGCGGGTTAGCGGGTTCCGGAGTTAGCCAATTCCGAAACCGAACAAGTTAGCGAGTTCCTCTCATCGACCAAATTTGAAGATAGGGCATTTAACATGGGGTTAGCGAGTTCCAGAGTTAGCCAATTCCGCGGACCCCAAACCTGAAACACCCAGATCGAAACTCGCCTGTCATTATTTTAACATCGCCTTATTTTTTACTATATTTTTCAAAAAAGAAAGATTATATTGATTTACTTTGGATTTTAAAAATGTGAACGTTTTATTTTATTAAAGATTTATGGTGATAGGTACGTAAATATTGTGGTGTAGTAAAGTATATTATATTGTATTTAAGTGTTAAATTTTGAAATTTTAGGGTGAATCGAGATGAATCATTGTTTATAACATGGGTCTCTCCTACCTTAACACACATATCAAGTTTCATAAACATCGGTTGGAAAAGTGTAAAGATAAATATTTGTATGTAAAAAATACAAAATGGCGGATATCTGGTTAACGAAACAATTTTGGAAAAAATGTTATTCTTGATTTTCTGTTTATTTTAACCCAAGGAATTACTACGTAAAGTATCTCCCCGCTTATTTTAACACCCTGTTTATGATGTATTCTTATAAGTGAAAAATGTAAGCTGGTAATACAGAAAGATGTTTTATAAATAATATGAATGTACTGCTGATCTGTATATTCATCTTTTTCTTGTCCTTAGAACTGTAAATTAAAAGTCCACTCAGCAGTCGCATCGTACGATGTAGTTCTTTCCATGCGTTGCGAAATGCTAAATTTGCCGTCCTCTTCAACCCAAATTATCTATTGAACCACTGATTGTAAAAAATTCAAAAAAATACATTTTACGCATCACACTTTTGGCTGCAACTTTGCCACAGACAAAACCTCTCCAACCCAAAAACAAAAAAAAATCTCGCATGCTAACTTTTTCATGTTAGAAATCACGATTTAAAACCATTTCACCATAAAAATCAATTTTTATTAATTAGATCGGTAAATAGTTTAGAGTTCCAACAAAATAGTAATCGAGTAGGACTAACCAAGAAGCTCTGTGCCAAATTTCAAAATTTTAGCACAACTTTAAGTACACCAAAACACGAAATTATTGAAGTCATGCGCGACTATCGTTGTTTTTAACAGATTATACTTTTGACCTTCCGGCACTGTTGACTCAGCGAAACTGAACTTATATTTTATCTTATTTTGTTATATTAAAACTGCTGTTGCATTAGGTCAAATTCCCAATAAGTCAATTGCTTTAACATAGACTACGTTTTTAGCCCGGACTGTACTATTTGACTTACTGAGATTTTTGATCTACAGACACTGCAAACATTGTAGTTTTTGACCTAGCGGCACAGGTATAAATTATTTGACCTTCCGGAACTGTTGACTTTCTGCAACGCGTCCATTTTAATATTCAGAATTCAATTTAAGCAAAATCAATTTTTTACTATATAGAACGTAAAATAAAAAATTTAAAGAATAATTTAGGTTAAAGTCGATTAATCAAAAGAGAATCTTTCGACAAAGATGCAAAGACGGCACGGCACGCAAATTCCATAAGACCTGCCATCATCACCACCTTTACCAACAAAACCAAAACACCCGAAAACGCCAAGTAAAAAAGGTCATTAAATGTCCTTTTGCTGTGTCTATTATGTCTATTATATTGTGAAATATAATATTGCACACAGATTTCTAGTAATATTTTAATAATTACCCAAAAACAAAAGCAACACAAGGAAGATGACCAGTTTGAGTAGTTGTTACTACTTTCCACTTTGGATGTTATAAAGAAAAATGTTAATGTAAGGGTAGTTTAAAAAGTATCTAGTTTTTGCATTGTATGAAAACAACAAGAAGGCTATTTTTACCTTGTCCATCAAGTGAACAGGTCACGTTGTACCATCAAGGTTCTACTGTATCTACTTTAGCAATGAAAAACTCATTTGAAATTTGTATTAACCCTTTGGGTGCCAGAAATTTATTTTGGTACTTTCCGAAAAGAGCCAAAATTTTTTACTAGTTACGTCTGAAAAGTGGGAACCGTATGAGAAATTGTATTAAATCATCGTTGTTTTAAAATAACAGCTAAGTCAACAGCTATGCCCATTAAAACTCACACGGTCGAAAGCCCGATATATTGTTGCAATGTACTTTTCGGTTGGATGTATTTTTCGGTTTAGACTACTGAAGTCAATGATGATATATCAACGATGATGACTATATATCGTGAAGCATTTTTCGGATGTTCTGGGCTAAACTAAATGTTGTATATCGTTGCGTGGCACTTAAAGGGTCAATATAAAAATTAAGTAGGCCCTATTGAATATAAAATAAATGTTTTAACCTTCCATCGGGCGCATCTCGGAAGTTACTTCCCAGTCACTACTTTTGTTATAAAAACCATAGTATGTGTTCGGCAGGGCTGTTGCCTGATTTACCTCGCACACTTTGAGAGAGCTTAGCCTGTCAGTTCGATCTTAGCTAGTAAACTGTGTCAACCTACTACTACTCTATGCAAAATTGGACAAAATAGTGGTTATAGTTGGTAAAAGAAAAATAAAGCTTGGTTTAAAAGCCAGCGATGAATAATGTTACATACAATCTTCTTTTAAGAGAACAGCTATTTATATGAAATTACGTAATAACACAGAAATATCTTACCTAGGTCAAGGGTTAACAATATCTGGTCCGCAGTGCTGTGATTTAATTTTATACCTTATTTACTTCAAATTTTGTTAAGTTTTTCCCACTCTGTAACTAACAAGAAATTTCACTAGAAGCTCAATTCATTGAAGAACAAGTAATAAAATAATGGTATACAACTTCAAATAAGCAACAACTTATGGTCTTTTATGTTTTTATTGAAAATTAAAAGTTGTACAATAAAATAGGCATTAGATGCGAGAGGGGTACAGCATCTGAAACAAAAAAGTTAACAATTAGCCTATAAAAAAGGAAACACGATCATCTTAACTTCAGAACAATGTTCATTATATAGATTCACAGTTTATCAAACTCAAGCATTCAACTTACGATAAAATAATACAGGAAGGCGAGCAGTGTGGAGTTTAGGAATAGATTAATGTATCGGCAATACTAAGACTGCTTTCAGAATAAACGTACGATTTTCCCCAAGCAAAGATCAGTCCCTAGGTACTTTATACTAAAAACTCTCAGAACTGAAATTAATGGGGGGAGAGGTAATTTGGGATAACCGAAATTTCAGCTGTTTATTTAACTTTAAGGGCCAGTTTCCGAGAGCTCGGGATTTAGCTAAGTTCTAGACTTGAGCCGTCTTTAGACTTTGGAGTGAACAAAATGACTTCCGAGTCAGGTCGTTGGCAAATCCAGAACTTTTAGACTCTGAAAATTTGACTTTCCAAGTGGATCCAGGACTTAGATTCTCGTCTCTCTCCGAGTCAAGGATTTAGCAAAATTCGTTAAGTCTAGGATCTAAAACAGTACGATTTTAGATCCTCGCCAAGGGCAGGATTTTAAATTAGATCCTAGACTTAACAGAGTACAAACGCCTCAGTTGTTGTTTTAAAGTTGGTTTGTGCCCATGGTTATCATGGAATACCTAGATAATTTGGATTAATGGTCGTTTACAAGCACCAAGGTAGACCACACGACGTAGACCAAGGCATCTTGGTTGTGCGCTTAACCCATTTCTCAGGTTATCTGATGAAGAGTTTCAGGATAGATTCCATTTTTCAAAAGATATTACATTTACTGTCTTCAGGATTAGAAGTTTGTAATGAAAGAGCTCCACACAGCATTCCGAAATGGAAACAAGTATTGATTGTGCTAAGTTTTTTTTATGGGACTCTTAACAAGGAAACTGGATATCTTCTCCATGTGTCAGAGTCTACTGCTTGTAGAGTTATCCATAAGGTAGCAAAGGTAGTGGGAGATTATGGGCATAATTTAAAATTCCTGAAGGGTAATATAGGACAAAGCAGACATGTTTCCTGGGGTGTTAAGCTATGTTGATGGCAATACGTTCCTATTATGTAAAATGTATATACAGAGTGTTCAAAAAAGGTAGGGATATATTTTACCTAATGATTCCTTGGGTCAAAATAAAGAGAAAATCAAGAATAAATTTTTTTTCAAAATCACTTTGTTAACCAGATATCCGCCATTTTAAACATTTTTATCTTTAAATATTTTAAATTGATCTTTATGAAACTTGGTATGTATGTTAAGGTAAATGAAACCCGTGTTAGAAAAAAGGTTAATCTCGATTCAACCTAAAATTTCAAAATGGCGGCCATTTAACATTTTTAAACTTAAATTACTCAAAAAGGCTGGTTTTATGAAAAAATGCCAAGAACAATTAAATTTAGCATTTTAAATTATCTATCAAGCGATACCAAGTTCAAAAAGATTGAATAAGAAATAGCTGAAATATTACGATTTTTAGTTGTAAAAGGGACAAACCTGACTACAGGGTGTCTAGTAGTCGGGAAAATCGGGAAAGTCGGGAATTAGTATTGAATTTCAAAATGGTCTTGAAAAGTCGGGATTTAGTCTTAAATTTGATTTCAAAGTCGGGAATTTTCATTATTTTGCCGCGATCGTCATCTTGCGTTTACGTAACCGCGAAATCCAATGATGACGATGTCTACACGGCCTCGGGAAATGTTCACGATTTTGCCGCGATAGTGGACGACGACGATGACGTTTCCGAAACCGCGGGAGACGACGATGACGTTTCCGTGACCGCGGGAGATGACGATGATGTTTCCGTGACCGCGGGAGACGACAATGATGTCTACACGGCCGCGGGAAATGTTCATGATTTTGCCGTGATCGCTGACGGCGATGATAACGTTTCCGTGACCGCGGGAGATGACGGTGATGTCTAAACAGCCGCGGGAAATGTTCATGATTTTGCCGCGATCGCGGACGACGACGATGACGTTTCCGTGACCGCGGGAGACGACGACGACGTTTCCGTGACCGCGGGAGATGACGATGACGTTTCCGCGAACGCGGATGACGACGATGACGTTTCCGTGACCGCGGGAGATGACGATGACGTTTCCGTGACCGCGGGAGATGACGATGACGTTTCCGTGACCGCGGGAGATGACGATGACGTTTCCGTGACCGCGGGAGATGACGATGACGTTTCCGCGAACGCGGATGACGACGATGACGTTTCCGTGACCGCGGGAGATGACGATGACGTTTCCGCGAACGCGGATGACGACGATGACGTTTCCGTGACCGCGGGAGATGACGATGACGTTTCCGTGACCGCGGGAGACGATGATGACGTTTCCGCGAACGTGGACGACGACGACGATGGCGTTTCCGTGACCGCGGGAGACGACGATGACGTTTCCGTGACCGCGGGAGACGACGATGATATCTGCTCGGCCGCGGGAAAAGTTCATGATTTTGTAGCGATCGTGGACGACGACGATGACGTTTCCGTGACCGCGGGAGATGACGATGACGTTTCCGCGAACGCGGACGACGACGATGATATCTGCTCGGCCGCGGGAAATGTTCATGATTTTGTCGCGATCACGGACAACGACGATGACGTTTCCGTGACTGCAGGTGACGACGATGATGTCTACAAGGCCGCGGAAAATGTTCATGATTTTGCCGTGATCGCGGACGACGACGATCACGTTTCTGTAACCGCTGCAGTCAATGATGATGTCTAAACGTACGGTACGCGGAAGATTTCATGATAAAAAAAACCAAATTGGCTAGTTAGAATTTTGTATTGCTGCATTATTTCTTTACTTGAAAACACCACATTATCATAATACTACTTTATGACAAAGACAGGGGTTGGTGTAGTATTATTTAGAACATTTGGTTAAGCTATCAAGAATCGAGAATCGATACATTTTGAACAACACCCCACTAACACCCACTAATTGTTGAAAAAACTAGTCTTGAAAAATCTGGAATTAGTCTTGAAAAGTCTGGAATTAGTCTTGAATTTTATAATAAAAATAAACTAGACACCCTGTGACTAGCTTTTGCCTTATTCTACCCTATTTTAGAACTAAAAATCGTAATATTTTTTGGGTATCTAGAGCCAAAGAGGAAGATCATGTTCAATCTAGTATGAGTTCTACAACCCATAAATGACTTGTCAGAGAAATTAATAATACTTACAATCCTGATCCTCTTGCCCATAGCGATGGCAGGCAGGTTGCGCTTGAACTTAGCCCTGACAGCGCCAGAGCAACCGTGCGGCCTCGTCACTTTCCCCCAGATTGCTCTCACGTTGGTCTTCTTGCCTGTGTGGCCGGGAACAGGAGTGCGGTTCTTGGCCTACAAATCATCATAGCCAAATCAGTGACACACGAGTTGACAAATTGAATATAAAATACCCCCGCCGTAGAAAACCTGCCGACTACGCGAATTTCCATTTGTCTGAATCGATTTTCAATTAAATAACATTAGGTTTAACGAGTACCTAGGTTTGCTGCTAAAAGGAAACTAATAAAGTGTGTTTTTTAATAAAATGTTAATAGTTAAGTATGAAATAAATAAATTTGCCAAGTTTGATCAAAATACAGGGTGTTTCCAAATTGTCTTAACATATTTTGTGGACTTGTTCCTTGGGCTAAGACAAACATAAAATGCCATAGGTATAAGTATGGGTCTAAAATGCCTAGATTTCTGTTTGTGATTTTTTTTTAAGAATTATTTTGTATCTTGGAAATTTTTCATGATAAGAAATTTTAAAATTTGTATAAATGTGTATTTTAATAGGTAAAAAAAGCTTACAAAGTTTCGTTCCAATATCTCAAGCCGTTTCAATATGGCGTTTATTTTATTTATACCAGTTTTGACGTTTCTATCTTGAAAATGCCCAAGCTATATAAAATAATTCTTTCATCTTTATGACTTTTCTCCGTTCCCAATAAGCGTACAATAAACACTTTCATATATTTTTCCAGTATCTCCTTAAAATATAATAGGAACATATGAAATAAAAATAAAATTATTCCCCCTAAATCCTATACAAAAAATCCATTTAAAAATACTTAGAACATGATCCAAGTACATGGTGTTCCAGAAATTAAGGGCACGGGTTCGAATCTCAAAAAGTTTCCTCATGACAACCTAGGCCTATGAGGAATTGTACATTTTGAGAAAGGTCTTGCTTAAGCCCCCCATACACGGGCGAGCATGTTCGCGAGCATGTTGGCGAACATGCTCGGCGTTGTCAACAGACGGACGAGCATGCTCGCGAACATGCTTGGCGTTTTCAAGAGACGGACGAGCATGCTCGTCGCTTGGTAGCGGTTCCTAGGCCTATTCTTGCTTTTCTTGTGCTCTGTGACAGTCTTAAGTTGTGTGTATTTAGCCTACTCCTGCTTTTTTTTTGCAGCATACGCATTATTTATTAGACACAAATCAGGGGCGATTTATTTTTGGCCGATTTTGTAATCGGCCGATCTAAAAATCGACCACCTGGTTATTTAGTAAGTACCATAATACCCCCGCTGCAGCAAACCTGTCAACTAAGCGAATTTCCGGTCGTTTGAATTGTGTGTGCCAGGCCTTAAGTTATCGGATTAAATTCATCCGCTATGGTTTGAAAATAATGTTGGTTAAAATTCCATCGTTGTGCAAATAACATTTCTCTTAGTTTTATTCTAGCCTTTCTTAGAATTATTTAATTGTGACAAATTACTACAGAATTAATTGCACACATTTCTGTAATAATATACAAATTGTAATTGATGAAACCTCTATTTTGTAAACTCATTTAAATTTGTATTTATTGCGTTACAAACACAAAAAAATATTTATTTAGCTTCTGTAAACATTGATTCTAAATCTATTACTGTAACTGGAATACATCAGAGGATCAACACCATGATGATTACAAGTGCAATCTGTCTATTGCGGCTACTTTGTAATGGCGGTAACGAAGTAATCGTTTGGAATCGGAACGGTTACTTGTAATGAGTCCACGAGTGTAACTGGAATCATAGTAGCGGCTACATCGATGGAATCACTTAGCATATCTCTACCCAAGTTGCAGCGGCGAACATGCTCTCGAACATATGGTCGTCCCCACAGACGGGCGAGCATGTTCGTGTTCGGGCTCGACAAGTCCGACGAGCCGAGCGCCGAGCCCAACATGCTCGCCGCGACGGATCCCACACACGGGCGAGCATGTTCGTCACCAACACCGTCACGAGCATGCTCGCGAACATGTTCGCCCGTGTATGGGGGGCTATAGAGCAACATTTTGGCGAAAACAAAACTCGATTGGTTTCAAAATGGCGGCCACTTTTGTAAATTATTTTGCATAGGCTATTGACAAAATTACCCTGTATTTTCAAAACCGCTAAATAATGTCGTAAAAGTATGTACACGGGTGGTCTGACAGCTCATTTTTATTGAAGGTTGTCTACATGTAAGCCGAAACGACGACCTTCAATAAAAATTAGCTGTTTGTCGGATTTATGAGGTATGTAACCTATTTATCATATTAAATTAATCCACATGCTTACACTGACCTTGTATACAAAGACACACTTCTTTCCAACATAGAACCAGCTGTCAGCTTTAGATGTGCAGCCTTCAACATTTAACAAAGCTGTGTTCTCATGCTGATTGCGCAGCCCTCTCTTGAATCCAGTGAAAATTGCCTTGGCATACAAACGTCCATAACGCTTCTTAATGTTCCTCTTGACAGGCTTGACTTTCTTTTCAATGGACTTTTTGTCTTTCTTGTCAACTTTAGCTTTCTTCTCACCAGGTTTTTCAGCGACTTTCTTTTCTACTGGCTTCTTTTCAGCCTTGGGCTTGGCTGCTGGTTTTGCAGTATCAGCCATTCTATTGTCTGAAAAAACACAGATTAAGTTTAACTTAGTGTAACTTCAACAAAAGTAGGCTACCAAAGTTATGAGTTTTTTTTTCTTACAGTGTTAATAAATAATAGCCTACCCTGTATAAGCCTTTGAATAAACTTGCCATATCAAAATACCAAAACAGAATAATTATGCCTAAGCCTAACATAATTGTGATTCAATTTGAGTGGCAGGTTTAAATTCAAACAGCATGGAGTGGGCGTAGGCATCGGTGGGATTTTTATCCTGGATGAAAACAGCATTTTTAGACCACATCAGTAGGCTATGCTTGAATTACAAATTTTTTGCTTAGACACTCGTTTTTTTTTTATAATAAATAAGAAAAAAACTGTTAGGCACTAAAATATACTGCTTTTTAGATAAAATCTAACATTGATGGATTTAGGGTATTTGTTTGGCCTAAATAGTTAGTTTAGTAAGTTACAGTAGGATATAATAACAAGGAGCTATTTAAACCTTCATGGTTTTTTTACACGATCGGTCACACAGAGTCTTTTTACGGGTGTTGAAACATTAGACATAACAATGGTTTTACATTAATAAGCCTAAACTTGTTAAGCTATTTTCAAAATAGCCTACAGTAGCAGGTCTTTCCCTGTTAAAGGGAACATTCATTATTATTAGCCTATCAATGATTAGGCCTATTTTTCGATACATCGATGATATTTTATTTTTCGATCCGATATATCGATATTAACAAATGAGACATCAGCTTAGTTAAAATAAATAAAAATTGTTCAATATCAACAATAAATATATATATATATATATATATATATGAAAATGAAACTGTTCTAAACTAACCTTTACATAACAAACCAAACTTGCTGTAACATTTCAGAATTACGTTTTATATTCTCCACATATATGCCTAGTTGATCAGTTGTCATTTTTTAATTTAAATGTGTTTGAAGATATTAAAACAGAAGGAATGGATCGTAAAGAAAACAAAAATAATCTATATGGGCCTATGGAAGAAAATCAGGTTGATAATAATAAATGTTCCCTTTAACAGGTCAAGTACCGTGTTAACTTACCATGAGCGGGATTAAAACTGTATGTGGTACAAAACAGGATTTTTCTGCTATGACAACTATATTATTTTTCTAACTTAATAAAAACTTAGAAAAAAACTAACACCAATTAAATTGAGTGTAGCAAAATAAAATAAGTTATCAATATTTTATAACAACTAGGCTATTTAAACATAATAGGCCTGCGTCAAATATAGGCTAACACTCAGGATAGAACAAAAAATTATAAGGGACAAAACAGGATTATTCTTAGCCTAATTAAAAAGCGGGTCCTACCTTAAACGGGATTTATCAACCCGGAGTAGGCCTAGGCCTAAGTGGGATTATTTTTTTTGGTCAAGTGGATGGATACACTGTAAAGTTGTCCTAAAAATTAGGTATTTGGGATTTAAAAGAGACTGCCTAGCTACCAGGATGTTTAGACACTGCCTTCCCTTAGATGTTGTCAGTTCTAGTACTCAGCCCAGGCCTAACTTAAGTATAGGCTTAAGTATATCCTCATTGGTAACTTATCACGGAATGGTTCCGTCATCAGCTGAATAGGTCCAAAAAACTTATCACGGAACCACAATTTTCAAATAATTAATTGTTGCGTAGTTACTAACTTAAGTTTTTATGCAAGTTTATTGAAATGTTTCTAAAGAGTTAGGCTAAAACTTATTTTATTTTTAAATACAAAATTAACTTACAAAGTTATTTAAGAATAAACTAAAAGTAATAAGACAGAAAACAAGTAGGTACCGGTAGCCTAACAAAAAGTATAACAATAGCCTATTACGTCATTGAAGGTTGTTATCACGTAACGGCTGATGTGTTTTATTTGTTATTTGGCTATGCTATTGAACTAAGAACCAAGTCTCCAATGGGCTAACAGGCTACATTTGCTTGGGCTAGACTCTTAGGGTGCGTTCACAAAGAAAGCTGGTTACAAGTAACTTACTTTCTTCGCTTGTTCCAAGAGCTTGAGCGTGCTGTTGTGTGTTCACAACAAACACTTGCATTTCAAGCTCAGTGTAGTCTGGTTGAGACAATATCTTCCTCAAGTGATGAAGAGTTATTTTTGATTTAAAATGAAGGATTAAAAATTCGTAGAAGGAAATTACGTGTTCATGCAATTAACCGCGAAAGAGGTAGGTTCGGGGAATACCACCATCTATTTCCTCAATTGAAATTGGACAAAGTGAGGTTTTTTTCTTATATGAGAATGGAGTTAACCACGTTTAATTATATCCTCAAGAAAATTGAAAGTGTCTTAGTGAAGTTTTGGGGGAATTGGCATAAGTTAAGCAGCCTATCCATGCACCAGAACAAATTTTTGAACCAATAATAGAACCTAAATGTAGCTGATTAATTATGATGCAAATAATATTGCGAGATATATTCAAATGTTTTAATTTTCTAGGTAAATAAAGTAAAAGTATACAGGTTTCATCCATAAAAATATAACACTTAATAAATCTATATAATTAATACGCTACATGAAACTTTGTCGGTTGAACTCCTCCACCATTTTTTAACCGATTTTATCCATTGACGTCTCATTCGAAAGAGCGTGTCGCGTAGATTTGCTAACTGGCCTTTCATTTTTGAAAAAGTTTATTAGGCTCTGCCCCAGTGGCTATGAAAGTTCCCATGTTATCCTTATGAAGAACATAATTGTTTACATTTTGATCAGCTGTATAATTTAATTGCTGTTATTTATTTTTCAATTCAACAAAACGCATTGGGTACATTTACTGATTTTGTTGAAATTAAATATTTAACTTACTACTTTAATTTACAATGTATAAATTCGAGGAAGCCTGGGCAGTTTGAGACATTTTACCTCCTATATAATGATGAACACCTACAATATGAAGATGTCCACAAACAATGAACAAGCCAAAGTGTTACTATTTTGTAGGAAACACGGACTTAAAACTTTACGATGATTGACAAAGGTAAAATCCAAAAATAAAGGTAAAAGCCTCTAAGGCTGAATTAAACTGGTACAGCAAGGACATTAAATAGCGACCTTGTAGTCTATTGTTCGCCTCATCATGTTTTAATAAAAGTCAAGTGATTTTATAATAAAATTACTACATCCAGGAAACCTTAGTAAAATTTTCATTGAAGGATTTGCATTTATTCACATTTAAGGGAAATAAAAAACCATCTGAAAAACATTAGGCTTTTCAATTCTTAATTTTTCAGGTAAATATAACTTACGTTATAACAGTAACTCTAGCCAAATTAATGCCAATTGAAGCAAATAGGCCTACAATCGTGATAGAGAGGCACATTTGTAGAATAGGCCCTACACCAAAAAACCAAATCAGCTTTTGAAAAATAATCAAATATTTACAAGAAATGTTGATTAGGTATATGGAACTGTTAGGTACGTAATCTATGAGATGAGTCTTTTAAACTCATCGTCAGAAATTATGACTTCTATTAGTTTTTAAATAATCTAGGCCTAGGTATTTGTTTTTAAATATCTTAAGTTAGGGGCCTACTTTATTTCTTTGCAATTGCTCGATTTCGAGCAACATGTATACACTAGTAGCCTATTGAATTAGCCTAAATGTGTTTGTCTACATATAACTTATGGTATATTTGTCCGATTGGTTACGTTATTGAACATTCTAGAGAAAAACCACAATACGTGGGTAATACTTTTTTTGGAAATTGTAAACTCTAAATACTAAATTAGAGCTATCAACTCATCGACATCCATACTGCACTGTTAAAAGTCTGTAACTGACTGGTTCGGTCAACAAGCGCCGGAAAACAAGTATGAAATGTTTTTGCGTGATTGTCAGAACTTGTAAGTTAACAAGCGCTTGCTAGCCGGCACAAGCTTTGTCTGTGAACACACACGCTTGATACTATGATGACTTTTCTCACGCCGGTTCGAGCTTACAATCGCTTGCCAACAAGCGCACCCTTAGCAGATACCGGTAGGTATAGGCCTAAATAGCCTACTTTCCAACTTATCAAAGTGAAGAAGGCCTAAGTTATTTAAGACGTATCCAATATTAAGCTTTTAATGTTTTTAATGATGACCACTCAAGAGTTAAGGCCTAAATTAAGTTAGTTTGGGGAAAAAGGGTAAAAATTTAATAAGTTTACAGGACGCACACATAGGCCTAAGTTTCAGTACCGTAACTTAACTTAGGCCTAGCTATAAATGTAAATTTTACTTAATAGACTTAGGTATTCTTAATGTTTTAGGAACGAACTTAAAAACACAACTAGAACTATCATCTATGGTAATAAAACCCTATGGAGTTTTGTTTCAAGCTAAACATTAAAAAGTTTGGATTCTAACCTAGAACTCGGAATAAAAATCCGTTTTAATCGAAACAACCAATTGAACCTGAGACTATAAAAAGCTCATATATGTTTCAAAATAACTTGACAATAAAGTAATGGCAATAATATCTCTTTTAAAGCTGTCAAAATTAAGCTAAAATAGAACATATTAACGTATACGTACCTTTTCCGAAGAAATAACAACGGGGAAAGGCTACCGGAAGAACTTTTTTTGGAGCTATAGCAGAAAGCAGTTAAAGCAGAAGCAGATAGGATTGGATGGAGCAACATAAAAAGGAAACAGGGAAGCAAGTTAAGCTAACAAAAATGATTTTTAATGGCTATATACTATAAATAGAGCAATATTTAAGAAAGCGTTTGAGCAAACGTGCAAATGTTTTGATGCAAATAAAATATGAAAATGAGTTAATTTGTGGATTTTGGTTAGTAGAAAAGTTATAAAAGTAGTTATTTACATCGGCGTTAAAGTCAGAGGTGACAACCCACCACCTTGAAAGATGGCGTCAATGGCGCTTTAGGTGCCTCTCCAACTTTCTGCACATAAATACCCGAGGTGGTGGAATGTTGTGCAGTGTGCACGTTCCTGTCTAGGTGCAACCGCGCATCACTGACAACGTTCCAGTTCCACTGCAACCACATACCTACTACCTAAAAGTTTGGATTATATTTTTTTATTTTCTTTTTGAAAGATTTTTTTAAATTATTATTTTTTTTTTACTTGAAACATGTTTTATTACAATAGGAAATTTAATTTGGAATAATTTACATTCAAAAAATAAACGGCACATTTAATTGGGGGGCGGGGACGGTAATTTATCAGCAACTGCACATTTACTAATATTGCAGGGGTTGGCAGACCTGGTCTGCATTGGTTAGACGGGTGTTACTTCGCTCCGTTGAATATTCACGACTTTAACTATATTGGACTTTCCAGCGAGGAACAGTAGTGTTGATCGCATTGAGAGGACTCCTATGCATATTTATAATATATCAGATGAACTTGGTATGTACTTATAAATGTTGAAAAGTGACTAACTCAACGTCGGGTGGTTTGGTCTGTGTGGAACAGTCATGAAAAGCGGTTAAATCAGCCCCGGTGCACGCTGGTTTGGTTCGCCGCTGTACCAACGTGACAACACCAAATTACCCTGCGATCCCTCTCAACGCCGCCGTTCCGCCTGGACAACTGTGGATGCTCTACGCTACGCTGCTCTGTTCTGCTGCTTGCTTCTACAAAACTGCAGGGGCGCGTACTGCTCCAATAAACTTTACGTGCCTCGTCTCTCCGTGGATTACAGACTGTTAACATCACGCTGAACTCTTCAACTAACTGGGATGGAACTGTTGCACTACTACTAACCTGGAAATGTTATATTTTATGTTAAATATATGTTTTAAAATAGCTTTAAATCTTTTATAAAACTTGCCTTGTTACTGATTTTAGTTTGTGGTTTTCTATTAGGCCTACGGCGTTGACACAATGAATCTTGAATCAATTGACAATAGTAATCTGGATGCTAAAACTCAAACAGTTGTAGTGGAACTTGCCTCCTTTGTAAATTCTCTTTCAAGTAACCATCCTGATGTAGATTGTAGATCTTTAGCAGTAAAAATCGCTGACTTGCTAAATACTATCTGTGTAGCATTAGATACCAATAAAAACCTTATGATAACAAATGATGAGTTGTACAACAAAAACTTAGAACTTGAACTGTATGTAGAATCGTTTAAGAAGAAGAAAAATGCTGAGCTTAACGAATCTTTCAATATACAAGATACTGTCATTGAAAAAAATGAGTCTTTAAGTCGTGAGATAGAGTCTCTAAGAGTAGAGGTTGCCAACCTTAGATCGAAACTTAGTAAAGATAAAAAAGAAAATTTACTTTGCTTGCCTAAAGTGAATTGTGACACAGAATCAGCATCTTCTGAGAACTACAGTAATATTATCCAACTCAAAGAACAAATTGTTCATTTGGAAAGACGTTCAAATTCATTGACTATGCAACTTCAGGCAGCTCTTGAAAAAAATGAGAACCTAACATCTAAGTTAGATAGTTTATCATTACTTGACAAGCTTCCATCTAAATGCATGTCCACATCCCTTTGGTTTGACGACTCCATCATACAATCCTATTTTTCCTCCTTCAGGGATCATCCTATCACTATCAAATCCAAGACCCTACTTATTGATCCCTCTGTTACTGAATTGCTGAAGTTGGGCAGTGTTCCCGATGTAGCCGACCTGCTAAATAGTCTCGAATATTCTGCCTATAACTTTGTTTTCTGTAGCATAAGCAATGGTAAAGGTTGTAGAGGTAAAACCATTGATGAACAAGACGAAGGCTCTCATTGGAGTCTCTTGTTTTGCGATATTAAGAGCAGGTTGGCTTACCATCTTGACTCCTTAGCTGACATCAATGCCAAACATGCCAATGTTATTGCACAAAAACTAGGTTGTTCCATAAAGCCTGTAGCTTGTTACCAGCAAAATAATGCTTTTGAGTGTGGATTAAATGTTTTAATAAATACAAAGCTAATATTGTACGGCTTTTGTTCTGTGTTTGACAAAGATAATGACTTTTTGGAGTGGTTTCGACAATTTGTTTTTCCTGTAAACAGATCAAAACAGTCTGTTAGAGTATCTACAGAAAGTCAGACAAACCTTAGCAGAGCAAAAAAATTAGACATAAGTTCCTCTGAAAATGTAGTTGTAAGACTAAAGAAAGTCAACTCAAAAAGCTGGAGTATTGTTAAATCTAAGGGCCGTAGAAATGCCGGAACTCCTAATAAAACGAATAAATCCCCCTCCATTCCTCCCAGTATACCAATCACATCCAACAGATTCTCTATCCTTGCCGACCATTGCCCTAAAGAACTTCCGTCCAATAGTATGTGTACACCAACTAATCTGCCTGGACAAATCCCAAGCTCTAAGTCTAAGACAAAAGAGGGAAGTAAAAAGATAATATGTCGTAAAGGCCCATGCAAAGTTAACCATTTTAAGGTCACCCCTTCTATGTCCTCTTCCAAAACAACACCTCCCATCACTGTTGTCAGAAAAAATAAAAACCTACCAGGCATTAGTATATATGGTGATAGTCATGTAAGAAATGTCTCAAGCATTCTAGGTGATAAGTTGAGTAGTAAATATACTGTCTCTGGCACTGTAATGCCAAATGCAAAAATGGAACAAGTGTTGTCAAATATAAACAAAGATAACTATTTAAATAGAGAACATGTGATTGTTATTGTTGGTGGAACAAACAATATTGTTAGCCTTGACCGCTGTAACAATTTTGAATCAGATTTAAATTCCTTTTTCAGTAAGGTGTCGCAGCCAAAAATCCTTCTGGTCGGTATTCCTAATAGGTATGACAATCCCGCCTTAAACAGTGAGATTTCAAAAATGAACCATAATCTGTTGTTGCTCTCAAACCAGTACAAAAACGTTGTTTTTGTTTCCTTAAAGTCTCTGTCTCGCAATTTATTCACACGTCATGGCCTTCACCTTAACTTTAAGGGAAAGACAGCCCTTGCCAACATCCTACTTGAGTCCTTGCATACTCATCAGACCCCTGACACCACCACTCAAACTCTCCATCTTTCTGACCCAGCCATGGAAACCCTTACACCACATGAACCAGAACCAAAGCCTCCACACAAACCTGACCATGTCGCTGTGACCCATACACTTCCAAAAACCCATCCTAAAATAAAAGCCAAACAACTCCAACCTAAGGCCCGTACTCAATGTCGTACCTTCTCCAGCAAACATTTTTTAGGGGAAGCCCGAAAACCTCCAGGAGTCCCTTGGTCACTCTATCTCAACAGAGAATGGGGAATCAGGGTAAAGGTTTAAAAATGATGCACCAAAACATTAGAGGTGTGTTAAATAAGGCAGAAGAACTAGAAATCCTTATAGACGAAGAACACCCAGACATTATATGTTTGACCGAACATTTCTTAAAAGCGGAGGAAATAGTTCACTCTAGACTAAATAGTTTCAGCTGTGCTGCATCATACTGCAGAACTACCATGAAGGGAGGAGGTGTAGGAATCTGGTGTAAGCCAGGCTTGACTTGTGAGGCTTTGGATTGCACTGATTTTATTCAGGAGGGTGTTGGTGAGCTTGCTGCAGTGTCCGTGGCTCTTGATACTAATGCCAAGATGTTATTACTGGCAGCTTATAGACCTCCCTCTAACCTACATGACGTGTTTCTTGACATGATCACAGAATGTCTAAATACGTATCAAAAGCGACACAAAATAACTGTAGTTATGGGTGACATTAATATTGACCTATCGTGTGACTCATTTATAACCCAAAAACTAGTCACAATGATGGCTTCTTTTGGACTAAAAAATATTGTTAAGGGATATACCAGAGAAGTAAATGGCTCACATACTCTTATTGATCATATATTCACTAATGCGACAAATGTTGATTGTTCAGTCATAACCCCTTGTTTATCTGATCATCATGCACAGATAGCCACCTTATATTACAATCTGGCCCAACCATCTTCTAGAGAACAGTTTTGTCGTTCAAGGACATTTTCATATACTAATATACAGTTATTTAAAAGTTTTATATCGAAGGAGAACTGGAGTGACGTTTATGTTGCCCAAGACTTGGATACTAAGTTTGATATTTTCATGACTAAGATTCTTTATTCTTTTGAAGCTGCGTTTCCCCAAAAACTGAAAATAATAAAACATAAAACTGCAAAAAAAGTGGCTTTGACAAAGGAAGTATTAGACATACGAAACAAACTCTACTGTCTTTACAATCAAGTCAAACATCTTCAGTCATCCCACCATCTTAGTATATACTATAGAAAACTGAAATACCAATACCGTCGCATGATTCTTGATATTAAGTCTCAAACAAATCTTCATAAGATAGAAACATCAGACAATAAATCTAAAGCAATTTGGGATATCATAAAATCAAAACAGAAACCAAACAAAGACTTCAAAAGTGAACTTGTTCTTGAAGGCAAAGATGGCAAGCTAATTACCTGCCCTGATGATATTTGTGACAAATTTAGCAATTATTTCTCCAATGTAGGGAACTTGGCTAAATCCACTGCTGGCCAGAGTTGTCTCACAGGATGTTCAGACCGGGGATTTGCAAATTCAATGTTCCTCTATCCAACAACTGAGGAGGAAATAAATAAGGTCATATCAAACCTAAAAAATAAAAAAAGTGCAGGAGCAGATGAAATATCTCCGATGCTTCTTAAGAACATTTCAAAGCAGTTGTTGACACCTCTGTGCCACCTTATAAATTTTTCCTTTGCATCTGGATCATTTCCCCGAGGTCTAAAGGAGACCGTTGTTAGACCAATTTTCAAAAAAGGAAACCCCCGAGTATGCAGCAGCTACAGACCAATATCTATTGTTTCTTCATTCTCAAAGGTGTTTGAGAAGGTGATGGTCGCTAGGTTATGGAAATTCCTAGAGAGTAATAATATAATTACTAAGAAACAACACGGGTTCTTGAAGGGCAAGTCTACGCTATCAGCTATGTATGACTTCATAACTGGAGTAGTAAATGAGCTTGATTCCAGAAACTGCTCAGCTGGGCTTTTCTTCGACCTCAGTAAGGCATTCGATACTGTTGATCACAGGTTGCTGCTACGGAGAATGAGTGAGGTGGGAATACGTGGCCTGGCCTTAAACTGGATCTCGAGTTACCTTGAAGGCAGAAAACAGTTTGTGGAGATTCGTTCTGCGGATGAGACCGGGCTTTTGCGTCCATATTCCTCTGTCAAGTCCTCTATAGTGAGGGGAGTGCCTCAGGGTTCCGTACTCGGGCCTGTCCTATTCCTCCTTTTTATAAATTCCCTCCCTTCATCCACTCCAGCTGCAAAACCTACACTTTTTGCCGACGACACCTCCCTTTCAGTTTCTGGCTGCGATGTCGATCGGTTAGAGTTGAGTGCCTTTTCTGAGGCGAACAATTTAGTCCAATGGTTTGATGACAACTTGTTAACCATAAACCCTGAAAAAACCCAACTCATACACTTTTCCATAACTAACAAACACCACAAGAGTTTTAGCCTTTTCGTAGATGAAACAGTGGTTCACCCAACTGACAGTGTTAAGTTCTTGGGATTGACCCTAGACAAAGGTCTCAGTTTCAAGAGCCATATAGAAAGCATTTCAGGAAAGATAAGCTCAGGAATATTTGTGTTGCGCAGCCTGAAACACACAACAAACTACAAAGTCTTGATTTCTGCATATTATGGCCTCATCTACCCCCACTTAGCGTATGCTGTACCAATTTGGGGTCATGAGAGTAGAAACACCAAGTTTCTATTCAAACTCCAAAAATGGGCAGTGCGAACTATTTTTTCACTGCCCAAGCGCCAATCTTGCAGATATTACTTCAAGAAATATAACATTTTAACTTTTCCCAGTTTATATATCCTGCAAACATTAACTTTTGTCAAACAACATTTTTCTTTATTTTTAGTCTCAGATAAATCTTCAGCCTGTCCCTACCCCTTGCGAAATACACATGATTTACCTATTCCGAAATATAAAACCTCCTTTTTCAGAAAGCATACACTCTACAACGGTATTAAACTATACAATAACCTATCCAAGTCCCTGAAGTTGGAATCAAACCATTCAAAGTTTAGGAAACGTTTAAAAAATGATCTAATTAGCTTCTCATGTTACAGTGTCAAGGAGTTTTTTTCAAACTGTAATAAAGAATGATAAGATCAATTAGTTTTTGTAAATAGATGGTAAGCATATTTGCAAATATTATTTGTAAGCCTTGAGTTGTATTTTTTTTCTGACTTAGCTAATGCAAGAAATTTTTTGTTAATTTTAGCTGAATAAACGAATTTGAATTTGAAAATTTGAATTACTAACTTTTAAACCTAAGTCATCTGCAAACAAAAACTCGTCAATACCTATACACTCTCGATGTTAATTAATTGGCAAGTCATTTATATAAATATTTAACAGGATTGGCCCAAGAATTGAGCCTTGGGGTACACCATAATCAACTCTCGTACCTTTTGAAAAAGATACATCCATAAATACAAATTGAGTTCTATTTGTCAAATAGGAAATACAAGTACAACAGACGCATCATTAAAACCATAAAAATTAAGTTTTCTACTTAATGCTGTACCGTATCATGAGATAGTTTTTGTTGCATGAAATCAACATGGTGTTCCCATTTTAAGTTTTCGTCTATTTACATTCAAATATGCTATTTTTTAAAGACACACATACCTATAGCTGTTCAATGACGATGGTGTGTGTTTATTTCAGGATAAGGTTAAAGGTAGTAATACAGTGACGTAGCCAGGATTTCAAAATAGGGGGGGTCGACCGACCGGGGGTTGGGGTAGTCCGGGAGTAAAATGGGGGTCCCGGAAAAATTTGAAAAAATAGGCCCTAAAACGGTCTTTTTTAGCTCTCTTGGCATTGAAAATAATCAACCCCAACGTCAATACAGTATGATTATATAATTTTACATTTAATTTAACAAAAAAATATTATATTTAAGACCGGAAGGGGGGGGGTCCGGACCCCCAGGACCCCTCCCCCCCTGGCTACGTCACTGAGTAATATGTTTAATCTATAATATCGTTGAAAATTCTATCAGGCCGCGGACTGGAGTTAAAGTCGGCCATGCCGGGGGGCCGGGGTCGACATAATTACCAGATACTTTGCAATGCTATGTTTGTGGGTAAAGAAACATTAATAAACGGATCTGTTACAGTGTTTAAAACTGATATGTCATAACAGGCAATGGTTATTTTACAGTTGTTGGTTAACCTGAATAATTGAAAAATATCATGTTATTTTCTCCAACTCAACTGTCAAGTCGATGAGTCGATCTAAAAAACATATCGGCTGTTTCTGTTTGTTTAATAGAGTTGTTCCAGATGTAATACTACACCAACACCCGTTGCCCGTTGTTTTCGCGATTATTGGAATACAGTATTTTTGATTATTTCTACCGTTTCATTAGTAAAATTCATAACTGACAACGTGTAATTTATAGAACTCCAATTTATGCAGAAAATTATGTGCTGATACAAAGTTATTTCTGAACATGTGTTTTTTCAAATAAATTAGTGTAGGCTAAGCCTAGTTCATGCTGTCGTCATGTTGGTATTTTAGATAAATTTTGGATTATTTTCACAGTGAAACATGTCTCTTACAATGCTTTGCTGTTTTAAAAGCTGCTTTAATGGGTTGGGATTTCCTGCTCAACATATTCCGAGGCCAGAAATTAACAATCCAATAGTGTTGGATACCTCACATATGGGTAAGTTCTTAACCATACTTTAGCTTATTTCTTATCATAACTCAGTCATGAGTTTTAATCAAGTATCCACTAAAATTTACCACCCTAACTATTTAGATCAGCGCAATCTGTTAGTGGCTCACATCAACTACGACGGTTTTGATTAAAAAGCTGGAAAATGTGAGCAATAGTTGCTAATTTTTTTAACGTCTCAATGAACCATATTAAGTGTAAGTAATCCAGAAATATGTTGTAGGGGTATCCTTAAACTGTAGCTATAAATGTATAATCCTCACTTGCAGGACACGAAGTTGTAATAATCAAGAATGGACTGCGCATATGCGGTAGTGGAGGGGCTTTGTGTACGGCACCTCTCGTTCAGAGTAAATCATACTTTGAAGTTAAACTTCAACAATCAGGTTTGTTTATTGAATTTGAAGGTACCGGTATTTAATTTTGACTTCATTACTGTATTAAGAAAATATCTTAAATTATTAAGCTACGGTACTTTTTTAAGCTAAACAAATTTTGTGAGAAAAAAGCTGTAGCCTAGAAAGATTAACACTCAATAAATAAAGTAGAAATCCACTTAAAGCTCAGTCAGGTTTGTTGCTCCCATACTGGTATTCACATACTGTAGGCCTAAGTATTTTTATTTTGCGTTGACAAACTAATCCAAAGTAGGGTTAAATTTTACATCATATATTGATAACTTAGGATTATTTTAATGCTGTAGCCTACCTATTGTTTTAGGTGAACAAAAAAAATTACATAGGCTAGGCTACAAAAATCAAAACAATCAAGAATGAAACGATAACCACCAAGTTTAATCTACCTGGTTAGGCTGATTTAAGATAATTTATATTAGGCTATTTACACAAAGAGTGAATTGTCTAATTCAAACTGGATAAATGTTGTTCAATTTATCAAAAAGTAGATAGCCAATCTGAAGTGTTTACCTAAACGTAACTTAATTAACAGTGTAGGCCTAGAAAACCCATATTGATGTTCTTTAGTCCAGGATCACTTCATGAATATTAAAATGGTATAAGATTATCTGTTTTTGTCTGTAATCCTAAATTTGTTGTATTGAGTAAACCGGTTTCAAGGTTATAACCTCATCATCAGGCTCTTGTTGCCACTCTTGCGAGATCGTTGAGTTTGTCATGACAAAACGTCTGCCCGTGCCGCGTCATGTGTGGGACTAGTTCCCGAATTTATGTTAAGTTAATCGTCTGTCAATATGTTTCGTGTTTTATTTATTTAAATGTTAGTGTCTTGTGTGTTTCTAAAACTCAACAATCTCGCAATAGTGACAACAAGAGCCTGATGTTGAGGTTATAACCTTGAAACCAATTGATCAATACAACAAATCTAGGATCACAGATGGAAACAGGTAACTTAACCAGGTCTTATACCATTTTAATATTCTAGTTAACCCATCATAAAAATCAGTTTTAATGTTAAACAATAGAATAAATGTGTACATAACCAGCTTCCTATATGAATATAAAAGTCTAATAAACTGAATCTTGCTTTCGTACACTTTTTAAATTAATCTAGAGGTTAAAATACCTTTAATCCGTCAAAGTGATCAAACGTCACCGATGAGCGGCGACCGGTTTCAGCCCAGCTGTGGGGCCATCTTCAGGCAATGAAGGAACATAAATATCACTCCGAAGAGGTCGTCATACAGTCCATAAATACGTCACGAGAAACAACACATAGATACATTATTTACAAACACACGTGTGGCCACAAATTAACTGCGCGGCGGACGGTACGCGTACATTAAGTTCACAAAAATGATATGCCCATACGTCCGCTCGTTAACTTTATCCCATCCCCAGGTTACAAAATTGCCAAAAAACTTGATACGATTATAAGAAGAGAATATAAATTCCACAATAACAATAGTCTAAAAAATAGCTCCGACTTAGTCAATAAAATTGCCAATATACAGTTGAAAGACAACTACTTGCTGGCTTCCTTTGATGTGGTCAATTTATACACAAACATCCCGATTGATGAAACTTTGAAAATATTGAAAGAAAACCTATGTAACAACTCTTCTCTCAACATTGCTATGATTGACGAACTAATTAAACTCACCAGAACTGTACTCAAACAGAACTATTTTAAATTTGAAGACGACATATTTTCACAAAATGACGGACTAGCCATGGGTTCGCCCTTATCTAGTATCCTTGCTGAGATGTTCTTAAACCATGTTGAGAATAAATATCTATGGTCAGATAATAACAGACTCAAGAACAAAATTGTGTTTTATTACCGCTATGTTGATGACACGATTGTCCTGTTTAATGGGACAAAAAGACAACTAAAAATGCTTGGCTCATTCCTTAACAGCTTACATAACAATCTAAAATTCACGTTAGAAGAAGAAAACAACAAGTCATTAAACTTTTTGGACCTCACAATATCTAGATCAACAAATAAATTTCAATTTAAAATATACAGGAAACCGACCACATCATCCCAGACAATTCACATCAACTCACATCATCCTCAAAGTCATAAAATGGCAGCATACCACAGTTTCGTCAGCCGATTGCTATCTATCCCTATGAACGATAACGACTACAATGAAGAAATAAATACCATCAAGTTCATCGCAGTCTCTAACGGCTATAGAAGTGATATGGTCGATAAACTAATACATAAACATAAAAACAAAAATAAAGCTTCAACCATGAATTCTGAAAAAATAGTTTTTACTTCAACAGAATATGGCATTAGTCTAAACAACACTCTAAAAAATGAGCTGTCGAAAAACAATGTCAAATTATCTTTTAGAACCTCAAACAAATTGTCATCCCTCCTAAAAGAAAAAAGAAAATCCTCATCTGATAAAAATGAACTAACAGGTGTTTACAAAATTAATTGTGACACTTGCCCCAGTTTTTATATAGGTCAAACTGCGCGATCTTTCAAAGCACGTTTCAAAGAGCACCTGCCAAAGAAGTCCACACAGAAACAAAATTCCGCATTTGCTGAGCATCTAATTACAAACAATCATTCATACACTTCAATAGACAATAATTTAAAAATTCTACAAATCCACAAAACCAAAGGCAGACATTTAAATGTAATAGAAGAGTACGAAATCTACAAAGCTGGCAAGGAAAATCCCCAACACATTTTAAACGAAAAAGCCTCTTTTGAAAGTAATTTTTTATATGAGACAGCAGTCGGCATTGAAAGAATAGTAACAACACACAAAGGACCTGATAAGAACTGGAGGAGGGGGAGGGGGATGGCAGATGGACAAGACGGCAGTGACGACAGTCTGGACTAGCAACTTAATGTACGCGTACCGTCCGCCGCGCAGTTAATTTGTGGCCACACGTGTGTTTGTAAATAATGTATCTATGTGTTGTTTCTCGTGACGTATTTATGGACTGTATGACGACCTCTTCGGAGTGATATTTATGTTCCTTCATCGCCTGAAGATGGCCCCACAGCTGGGCTGAAACCGGTCGCCGCTCATCGGTGACGTTTGATCACTTTGACGGATTAAAGGTATTTTAACCTCTAGATTAATTTAAATTTGTGATCAGGAGGCAAAAAACAACAGAAATGACACTTTTTAAGTTGTGGAAATCATTTAAGAACTTAAAATGTGTAGCTAGATAAAAGTTTTAATGTTCAGGTGTATGGGGCGTGGGATTAGCAACGAGGAACACTGACATTAATGCAGCGCCGGGTGGCAAAGACTCTGAGTCGTGGGTCTTGTGTCACGACGGCGTCCAACGTCACAACAACACCGAGGTGGACAGAGTCACAAACAATGCGGTGGAGGGAGACATACTAGTAAGTGTCAACAGTTGTAGGGCCAATCTGTATCTCAAGGAAAACAATTCTAGTCAGAATATCTGCCACTCATTTACAGTATGCTGGGGTGGTTAGGTTAGGTTGGGTTGGTTTAGTTTATGATAACAACAAAAAAGGTAATGTTTACAAAATGTATCTTTTGTAAACACAAGGTGCATTTCTGAAAAAAGAGGGCTTAAATCTATTTTAAGGTCTAAATTTGCTTCTTAACAAGTTTTTCATGTGCTCTTAACTTTTATTTACATGTAAAATGTTCAATTGGTTAATATTTATTTATTTATCTTAACTAGGCTAAACTTAACCTCACCTAACTGCTGTAGCATACTACCTATATAGAGAAAGGTATCCCTCTTCTTGAAAAGACCCTATTTCAATTTTATTTTTAACTTAAGTTATTTGTATTTTTCTAATGCATCATAAACAGGGTTGCTACTAAGTATTGTATATCAGTAGGGTTTGCAGTTATAAAACTTGATGATACCCTAGAGGTTTATCCACATTTACTTTTTTTGTTTATCCATATTTAGTACTCAGCTCAAGAAAACTCTAAATATCTCTCACAAAACTATCTTTGATTTTAACCCATAATTATCAAAGAATAAAACGAATAACAAAAACCAAAAGGGAGCCTGGAAGTTTGAATCAATAGTTCTGTTTATTGAAAATACCAATTTGGAAAAGGAAATACAACTTTAAACACCCACCTGAACCCCTAGGTCAATGACCACGGACCCCAGCTTCCCCAACAGGAGCCAGTGCCAAATTTAGGTGCGGCCTAGGCCTGGGATGGAATTTCCTACAATCACGTGAAAATTGTGAACATTCAATGGACGTCATAATTTCCACTATAATTCTGTAGGCCTACCTATTAATTGTTTTTGTATAGAAATGTAAAACACTTAGTTTATGCTGATTACCTGATTACCTTCTTCTTTGACCGAGACCAGTAAGCACTGGATAAGCTGCGCTGCGTCCAAATCCAAATAATTTATATGTACATATTTACAATTGGCTATTTACAAAACTTCCGAGATGGAGTTCTACGTGTCCCACAAATGGCGTGGACAATGGTCTTGTGCTATCGAAATTTAGTAGAAATAATTTTTGCTTAGGCCTACCCTCCTTCCTTGAGAGTAGGCCTATTCTAGTTTTATTTTTGGTCCCATCACAGCATACCCACATTACCACAGTATGCTAGAGTGATCATTCATTCTCTACAAAGTTTGGAAGTTTGGCTCATGATTTCCATGTGAGAATTTATTATTGTTTGGTATAATATATCTTTCCTTAATAATCTCTTTAATTTGTTTAGGGGGTGTCATTTGATCACATTGAATTGAATTTCTATGTGAATGGAAAACCAATGGAGAAGCCAATAACGGGGGTACGAGGAACTGTCTACCCTGCTTTATTTGGTAAGTGATGACCAACAATTTGATTTTAAATCTTTACTAGCAGTCACCCGGCGCGCGTTGCTGCGCTTAACAACTAGGCTATTATTTTGAACGGTAGAATTTGTTCTGTACGATAAATAATAAAATGTATACCAAAAACATAGCAAAAAGTCAAAATTGAGTAAAATAAATTTACTACATAAATCTAAACTTCCTTCAGTAACGTTTAGCCTACCGGTACCATAAGTTATTATTAAAAAAAAAACAAAAAAAAACTAGCTTTGTACATTTTCTACGAGTTTGGCTCAGTGTAGGCCTATTCATATATTTTTTTAATTTAATAAGATTTAATAAAAATGCTTTGCAACAGTTTGGATTTGACGTAGCAACTTTAGAAAGTATTGGATTAACTATAATACTCGGGGTGTTGGATGTTAATACAAATATGGATAAATATTTGTATATTTATCCAAATTAAATATTAAATATTTAATATTAAATAATAATATAAAATAATAATATTAAATATTTATTAAATATTTTATTTGTGGGATGTTGGATAAATATGGATCAAATCAGGTACTGGAGAGAGAAGATCTTAGTCTATGTGGACGGGCAAATGCAAGGTTAAAAGAGGCCGCCAACCTCTTTAAAAAAAAAAAAGATACTGAACCCAGCTGTCCTTGATCATTAAGCTTTTAATAAATGGTACTGACTAGTGACTAGTCCGTAACAAAGCTACACAAGGCATCACACTCCGTTCTACACTCATCCTTCACTCATATATGGGTTAAAATACCCACCTAGGGGGCGTCCTTATCTCAATAATTGATAATTGGTTATTGAACTTGATGAAAAGAGTAAGTTGAAATACCTCTAAAAGATGCAAGACATCATGGAAGAGAGCTTATAACTGATTGGAGTGGCTTTCTTAAAGTTCTGAAATAAAACCAATTTTAACAAATTCAAATAATTGTAGTTGCGGACAGTCTACACTGAACCTAAGAGTTTTTCACATGTTTATTGTTTGTGTCTAGTAACCTTTATGTTTTTATTCCTTTGTATATAGTATTTACAGCTTAAATGTTCCTACTAAATCTAGTCAACCAAAAATGTCCATTCACTATGTACCTGTACTGTATGCAATAGTTCAATTTGTATGTACCTTTAGCCTAACTTAACAATTTGACGTAGTCTATAACTTTTACTGTTCAATCGACCAAATAAAGAATCTTGTATATCTTGTATCTTGTAATCTCTTGTATCTTGTGTCTTATTGTTGTAAAAAAAATCTTAACATTGACTGATTTGAATTAATAGGGATTTTAGTTAGAAATTAATATTGCATTGATAATAGTTGTGTTTATGATATTTAATAAGATTATTTGTCGTTATTGGGCTCCCTACTCTTCTATAGTATAACTCAGTCGAGCAACAGTAATAAAGCACCAGCTGCCTCACCGTTTTTCCACTACCAGAAAACACCTGCAGACTACACTTCCCTAGTAGCCGTCCCTTAAAGTTTTCTTAAATTTGTGGAAACCATCAATGCATTGTAGTGTATCATTTTCAGTCTGAAAACTAAACACGTAAGTTGTGTTCTCGTTTTGTTTCAGTTGACGAGGGAGCGATCCTCGACATAATAGTTGACAACTTCCAACATCCTCCGCCGAGTGGTTTCGACCGCATCATGCTGGAGCAATCTCTCCTGTAACCATTTTAACAAATTTTTAAATGTTTATTGACATGTCTAAGTGAACTAAAAGTTCCAACTGAGTATTTCAAATCGTTTATCATATTAAATCTATATTACACTTGCAGATTTTGACTGTAAAACTAAGGGAAGAACTGACTTTTTTATTTTATACAGTTTTGGTAGTCTGATCAATGCTAGGAATTTTTGATGATTATATACATATACACAGGGACCTTGATAACAAGACCCTTGACAAGATGTCACCCTTGATAATAAGTGTAATTTTCAAATAATGTACTTAAATTTGTGGGGGACCACTTGATTAAGTTTTATATTAGTTAATGTAATGTATTTGTTCACTTATTGACCTAGTAACTTGACTTACTTTAGATTTTAAAGACTTAATTATTTATATATTTTTATCCTAAACTGTGAGCGTAAACATAGATAAAACATACCCCCTCTCATCCTTATGGAACAGGTGAAGCCAATTTTATTGTTAGTTCTGTACGATGAACTCAACAGCTTGTGTTTTGATTACATTTTGTTTCTTGTTATTTCAGTCATTTAAAACCCTGTTTAACCAAATAATACAATCTAATCGTAAACAATTACTCGTACCCTAGTTATATAACCAAACAGTAAAGTTCAAATCAAGAAATTAGTCCTAAAATAATAGAAACAAAATTTCATCGACACTAACCCCCAGTGTACATGAACTAGACACGAAAAACTAGCTTCAAAATTTACAATGGGATGAGAAGTCTACTTGTGTGGGTTAGTCTATGGCGTGAGCATATTTACTAGTACAAACTCTGTTCATTTTCAGACCACCACACTACTGAAATACCTATCTTTGAGTGTTTAAATTTAAAAAAATGAATCATAATGAAACTGGAAAGGCACTTATAGCTTATTTTTGTTGTTTTATTTATTTATTAACTTGCTTGCGAGTGTTATTGTTTTGTGTTTAAGATTGATACATTCCAAGTTTTGAGACCTGATGATGAGACGAATTTATAATTTTAAGTACGGGGTATCTACTTACCTAGGTCTACTTAAAACCCTTGTTTTAGACAAAACTGTGTTTGTCATATGTGTTTTAGCCTAGTTCAGATATTGTTTTTCTCCTTAGGAATATTCCGTCCTCCGCTTTGTATTTTGTTTTTAATGTTATTGTGTTTTATGGAGGAACTGGAATTTCTATTACCTATATTGTTTGACAACTGAACATGTTTTACTTCAAGACTAAATTAGAGGAATTGTACATTCATGGTTTGCTTTTGGAACTCTATTTTCAATTACCAGCCCCAAAGAATATACAATCATAACCATTACCAAATAATCAATTAACTATGTTAATTAAGTAATTAACTGTATAAACTTTCTAGAATATCATTATTACCTCAAAGCTGCGTTTTCTAAGGGGCGGAAGTGGAACACAGAGAGGGGTACCCGCTCTTCTGTCTTGTGTAATATAATGTGCCACTGGAAAAGCTGAAATCGCTTCTCCACGCACGCCCCACTTCCGCGCCTAGGAAAACCCAGCTTAACAGTACACAATTGTTATAAATTTGCTAAAGATAAGATTCTTAATGAAATTAGGGTACTGTAACTTTAAATAAATTTGCCCATGTTAATTTTGTTCCTTTTTTTTTGGTTTGTCACTTTCTTTGAATTTATGAATCAGAAGACAATCTATAAAAGACGCTATCAAATACAAATTGATTCTCATCATCTAAAATTAAGAACAATATTTATTTAGGCTACTTCCAACTGGTTCTATCAGCGAATAGTTAGTATGCAATAGTATACTGGAAATTACCAGGAATTAGTGTTTTGGTATTGCAAATTATTTCATGTGAGTACCGTTAACAACTTCTTTCGTAAATGACGTATGAAACTTTTTGGCTTTTGCCATATGATACTTTAACTTTGAAGTGGCATTTGTAACTATTGATAGCGTTCGAGTCTGGTAATTTATAATTTCCATTACATCATCATTTTTTAACTTTTGTTTGTCTGTGAGTGCAATTATTCACCTATTTAAAATATCAAGATTGTTTTTTTTTTACCTTCTATAAAATATAAATATAACATTTTTTCTTGACAGATGTGAAGAATCAGAAGTTATTTCCTGCTTTTATTTAGTATAGTTACAAGTGTTTCCGTCAAATCCATTTTGATAATCATTTTTTACTTTTGTTTGTCTGTGAGTGCAATTATTCACCTATTTAAAATATCAAGATTGTTTTACCTTCTGTAAAATAACATTTTTCTTGACAGATCTGAAGAATCAGAAGTTATTTCCTGATATTATTTGGTACAGTTACAATTTGTTGTGACACATCCATTTTGAAGGGGTTTTAACAGTTCATCTTTTAATAATTAATTAATGGGAATTGGGGACAACCACAACATTTCTTTTTCCGAGAAAGGACATAATCGGTTAGCAGATGCCTTACCAGGTCCCACCCTAAAGGTATTGGGGATGTCTTCCCTCCTCCCTCATGGCAACCCACTAAAAACAACCTCTCTTCTCTTGCCCTTTCTCTGACCATTGAATCATCAATTCTGTATAACTTCATGGTCAGATACATTATTTCTCAACGTTTCAGTTCCTCCATCTTCTCTTCCATGATGTTGCGAATCTGGCTTCCTGCTAGGTTCCATCCAACTGGTTTTTTGTATCATGATTCTGGCCAGATTCTGAGTGTTGATGCTCTGCTAATTTTATTTGAAGTTGCTGTTACTTTGTCTTGAATACGGTGCACCAAAAGATTGTATGAAGGGTATCATCTAGAAGCATCTCAAAGTTAGTGCAGTTTCCATCATCTAACTTTTGCATTCTGTTACAACCAGGACATAAATTTTCAAATGATACTCGGGTCTAAAAACATTTGTTTAGAAGGACAATGGTCTCTAAAGACATGGTAATTACATATTTAAAGTGAAGTGTGTTGCTTGAGCGAACTGTGGTTGGAGTCTCAGAGAGCATCTTATTGTATTTAAACTGAAGCTTACATCCCAATCTACTACTTTAGCACAATATATTAATTTAGCCTAAAACAGAAAATACAACTTAAATGGAAGCACAAGAGGATGATTAAAAATTTAACTATGTCGTCTTAAAGCAAATAATCTGACTACAGCACAGCCGACCAACGTAGATGGGATGTCAATTCCAGTATCAATTTCCAATCCTAAGTTTGTGGGGCACATAAGTTAATCAGTAAGCATTTTAAAGTTGAGTTTTCCTTGGTGCAGAAACTTAGAGCGGAGTGGAGTGTGGAGATGCGATTTTCCGCTTGTGCAGTGGCAGTCTGCTCCCTTCTGTGAAAACAGTATACCATTAAAATACCTTAAATGAGAGGAGAGCAGACTTTCTCTGTTCTACTTTTGCACCGAGAAAACCCAAACTTTAAGGATTTTATTCGTTGCATTTTCAGTAATGAACATACTAAATGTAGTGGTAACGCAAGAAAATTATCCATTTTGCACATAAATAATTTCTGATTCTCCTCTGTGATGTCCAAAAGCTTTAATTACAAAAATGTACTCCGTACATATCAAGTGATTTTATATGATTAACCTTTATGTTACATGCAAGTTTGCTCATACCCATTCCTTACTATAAAGCTGGTTCCTTTCAGCAATCACGTTGATGTGATATTGTAAAATATTGTAATAAATGTTATTTTTAAATGGTTTAGTTCCTTTCAAACCTGAAACAAGCTTAGAAGAATGTTTTCTAACTTGCGATGATAACTGACTTCATCGAATATCCTACCACATTTGACTGTAATTGATTCTATGGACATGAAGTCACACCGGCTTTTAGCGTCTGAATCTGAATTATTAATATGTTTATCTTTCAATTGTGATCAAACAGTATCAATCAGCTGGTATAATGTAATTTAGCTAGAGTTAAACTGTCTAGCCTTTCTTCATTTGTTTTCTGAGTAGGAAGGTGTGTTCCTGTTTAAATTATGGTGAACATACGATTGAATCTTTAGCCACATTCATCCCAAAAAGTTGGAACATTTTAAACTGTAAAATCTGGTGTAAATGCAGTTTAAAATAAGTGCGGTAAACAGATTATTGCCGACTTCACGTAGTAAACAAAGTTTCTGTCATCATTGTTTATGTACCAGAACAATGTCCAAAATCGGACAATGTCCAAAATTTCTACCCACTCCGCGATGTAGAAAGTGTGAAATACCCACGTCGCGGAGTGAGCATTTTATTCGGACATTGGCTGAAGTGAAATGCCCAGACCGCGTTGTGGGTAAATTTATTTACTGAAATGCCGAAGTCAAAACGTTCTTCGGCGATTGAGCAAATCCAAAATACCAACTACGCGATGTGATCAAGAGGGATTGCACACGTCGGGTTGTGGGTATTTCTAGTTTGTGCAAACGCTGAATTGTGCAGCTCACTTACGAGTGTGTCATAATAAAGAGAAAGCTATGTAAGTAGAGCTTAAAAAGAAATTTTGCAACATTACCAGAGAGGTGATTAAAATATACTTAAATATGTGCGAACCTTTCTTACTGAAGACAAAATCTCAAAGTTTAGGACTGGTCGTTAAGCCCATCATTACGACAGCATTAAACATTGAAGTGAGGTAAAATAAGTTTTAATTTTTAAATCCTTTCGCTAAATTAGAGTGACTTTAGAAAATGCTCGAGCTCATGAAATGTTTATCGAATTGTTGTACAGTATGTCTAAATCTCAATAACAAATTTAACAAAACTGGCAACGTACTAAGGCGGGTTACACACCGGTATCGCGGATATGATGTCGCCGATATTTTTCGTGCCCGCGACATGCCCCTCGAAAACCAACCTATGTTAACTTATGGAGCGTTACACACCAGTGTCGCAGACACGTTGTCCGCGACTCGTGTCGCAGACGCGTGTCTCGAGCGAACCAACCGGTCGGTGTTTGGACAGACATGTCTCGTGTCTCTTGGGCCCGCGCATGCGCAGAACACGTTTCTAGTAGTTTTGGCGCTTTTTTACTTACTTTATTGCCTTATGGTGTGGAATGTAGTATTGTGATATTATAATACTTCAATTGACACCATAAGGAAATTACGTAAGTACTGTAATGCAATTAATTACAATGTATTTTGGAAAAATTACCATGAAGTTATCTTTAATGTTTTTGTAGAAAGAACAACAGCAACAACATATCATCTTTTTCTGACGATGACATTATTTAAACTGATGAATGTTGTGATTCCTTCACTTTCATGTCGGCAGCACGTGCCTCTTCCCATGGTTGCATTTTATTACATGTCGCAGACATCATGTCCGCGACATCAGAAATATCGGCGACATCATATCCGCGATACCGGTGTGTAACCCGCCTAAGTCTACACTCTTGGCACAAGACATGGAGTTCTGGACAAACAGTTTTCGAGAAACAAACTCCAGGTGGCTACAAATAAATTTCTTTGCACCAAGGATGTACCGATAACCAAGTAATCGTACAAAAAGAAGCGATGTTGTCATCCGGATCCAAACAAGGTTTTATAAGGTGGTTGCAAGAAGAACTGTTTGAGTAAATCATGTAAACTTATTAAGTTAAACGTAAAATGCCATTGCAGCACCTCTTGTGCCAATAAGTAAAAGAAAGATGTAACAAGAACTGTGTGATAATTGGCGTTTTAAGGTTACTCCTATTTTTGTAAAGCGGAAAAACATAATTTCAATGTACTTGTAATGGGCCTTTTTATATTTGTTCCTATTCGGTAATTTGCAATTTTCTTGTATTTTCTAAAACGCTATTTATACATTAAATAATCACACACATAAATTTTATTAATTTTACCTAGTGATTGTGGATTTCATGTAGATTTTTGGGTATACGGTAATTTATACAGGCTATTCGGCGTTTACGCAAACTAGAAATACTCATGTCGCGGAGTGAGCATTTTATTTCGGACATTGGCCGAAACGAAATGCCCAGACCACGTTGTGGGTAAACTGATTTACTCAATCGCCGAAGAAGGTTTTGACTTCGGCTTTTGAATAATTTAGTTTACCCACAACGTGGTCTGGGCATTTCGTTTCGGCCAATGTCCGAAATAAAATGCTCACTCCACGACGTGGGAGTGCTCACTATGCACATCGCGGAGTGGGTAAAAATTTCGGACATTGTCCGATTTCGGAGATTGAGTGTAACAGGGGGATAAGCAAAAAGCATCGACAGTGTTACCGATGTTTTTGTTACTATCAATTATCGATGTTTTCGTCGAACATCAGTATTTTTGGCCAACTATAGAAATATATTTTTTCCTACAGTCCCCCGACAAAGTCTATTTATTTATTTATTTATTTATACGGTAAACACCATTTTTACAGTCAATAATACATGAGATTCAAGTTACAAGATAAATATTTATAAATATATATAAGCCAGATACAGATTCATCTTACTAGACAACAGTAAACATGCATAAACATTTTTAGAAAAATAACGATACCAGTAACCAAATCTAGATAACAATTAATTGATAAATATTTTAATATATAATAACAGTTACGAGCAAAAATATAAATATATTTGACAGACAAGACAAAAAAAAACCATGACAATAATATAATAACGGTGACGTAAACTGAGTGAACAAATTTTAACATTGCAATAAATATTTGTGAAAGTGTAAACAAACAAGGCAGCAAAATCCAGACAGTGACCTCAGGACACATTCTCATCAACCACATAACAATAACAGCTTAAACTAGGATATTTTTAATAGCTCTTAGTTTGCAGGTGAACATATCAACATGTTGGCATGCTTGATTTCCAAGTCTGTGGAGCCGTGGAATTGTACTGTGGAAGGCGTAGTTTGTAGAAAAAGAAGCTTTGTTGAAGAGTTGAATATGCCTGAAGTGTCGAGGAACGTGGAAATTAATTAGGCGACGTATTTCTGGTGCATCAACTTCGCCGTTCAACAACTTCCAGAGGAAAGACAGGTCTGCAGATTGTCTACGGTCGCTCAGTCGAGGAAGGCACATATCGATGCGAATATCTTCAATCGGCACTGTATAGAATTCATGGCCCAACTTGACGCCAATAGAGCGAAGAAAGCGATTCTGAATTTTTTCTACCCTTGATATGTGGTTGATTTGATGTGGATTCCATATCAAAGCTGCCATATTCCAGCACAGGCCTAACCTGAGTCATGTAAAGAGTTCTCAGAGCATTGACATCCAGTCCGTATCTACCACATCTAATGACAAAACCTAAAAGCTTTAGAGGCTTTATTGCAGATCGTATTTACGTGCAGGTCTGGGTTTAAATGATATGACATTAAAACTCCTAGGTCTTGTATGGCACTCTTCCGTGGCAGGATGGCATTATATTCATCGTGTAGAAGAAGTCAATACGTTGCTCGGTACGGTGATAAGATACTACTGCAGACTTTGAAACATTGATATCCATGCTGTTATCCAGACACCAGTTGTCGATTGAGTGCAAACATTGTTGAAGGGTGGAACAGTCTGCTTGAGATTTTATACACTTGAAAACCTTGATATCGTCAGCAAACAGCAAGCACTGAGAGTCGATAATATCCACAACATCGTTAACAAATATGTTGAAAAGAAATGGACCCAAATGAGAACCTTGGGGGACTCCTGAAACTGCAGGGAAAGGGATTGACTTGGCTCCTGCAAACTTGACAGCTAAGGTGCGGTCTTTAAGATACGACTCAAACCATCTCCAAAGTTGGCTTCCTTGTACTGTTTATAGTACAGAAAGCTGCTAATTGCTGTATATTTATACTTTGCCGTACGGTTTATTCTCTGCCGCACATCAGGATTCCAACGAAACGACACAAAACAGCGTGGTTCTATTATTCACGTAATCCGTGTACGCTTGGAAATAGGTTGGCAACACTTAAAGATAATAATACTAAGTGTTTGACATCATTACAAAAATGCCACTGGCGTAGACACAAGAAAAAAACCCTGTAATTTCGTGTTTAGTTTCGGTATTTTTGAACTTTCTGGACTTTTCTTTTAAACGTTTTTAAAACATTCCTACGATCTTAATAAACAAGAAAGAAGAAAATACCTTTAAAGTGTTTTTTTAGGCGCGGAAACCACTTCAAATTACTAAAACATAAGGAACTATATTCTCAAAACGCGGAGCACATTTCTTGCCGAGGAAAAATAGCGGAGTGATACGGACGGACCGCGGGTACTACTTTCTCTAGGGCAGAAGGGCACCATTTGTGTTGCCAGCTGAACCTAAAAACGTGTTGTATAGTGTTTGAAAGACTTATTTATATGCTTTATAGTGACTGTAGGCAAAATATAATGTGTAACACGAGTGCAAAAGGCCTTTGCTGCACTCGAGATCATTCCGCACCCGCCTCCGGCTCGTGCGTAAACATTGCTCTCGTGTGCAGCAGCCGAGCAGCCCACTAGTTACACAAAATAACTATTTCCACTATCAAATTGAATTAGTTTTAATGAATACTAGCTGTTGGCCCATCCTACGAACGGGAATCAAGTAGTTGATTTAAACTTCAATATAATTCAGAACAGCTGAGGTATTTTTAACATTATTAGGTACAACCTTAAAGGGCTATTTACGAAATAATGGATAGTTTTGCACAAGGTTTCTCGTCATGACGAACATTTTGAGTACATAGTTTATGGCTTGTAGGTAGTTATCTTAAAAGTTCA